GCACGGAGTCCTGACCTCCTGCACGGAGTCCTGACGTCCTGCATGGAGTCCTGACCTCCAGCACGGAGTCCTGACCACCAGCACGGAGTCCTGACCTCCTGCACAGGACTCCAACATCTGACCCCACGATGCTCTTCTGGATGAACGGTCACAAATTCCCACAAACACTCCTAAACCTGTGGAAATCCTTCCAGAGGAGCGCCGACATCATGTTACACTCACGCTCTGCCGTCAGGAGGTCAGGTGACGTAAGTTGTCAGATGATACAGCCATCATTGGATGCGTATCAGACGGGAATGATCAGGAATGCAGGGGGGTCATCAGTGACTTTGTTGGCTGGTGTGAGACCAACGTACTCCAAATCAACGCCGGCAAGACAAAGGAGATGATCATAGACTTCAGGAGGAAGTCACCCCCTACAACACCGGTGAACATCTGGGGGAAAGACACTGAGATAGTGGACTCTTGTAAGTACCTGTGTGTTCACCTCAGCAATAAACTGGACTACAAATACAGACGTCCTGTATAAGAAGGGCCAGAGTCACCTGCTGAGGAGACTGAGGTCCTTCGGAGTCTGCAGGACTCTGTTAAGGACATTCTATGACACTGTGGTAGCATCTGCCCTTTTCTATGCAGTGGCCTGCTGGGGGAGTGGATGCACAGACAGGGACAGGATTGACAAACTGGTGCGGAGGTCTAGCTCCGTGCTGGGATGTCCCCTGGAGTCTGTGGAGGTGGTTGGTGAGGGGAGGATGTTAGTAAAGCTGACATCCATCATGAACAACCCACATCACCCACTGCATGAGTCTGTGAGTGGGCTGAGCAGCTCCTTTAGTCAGAGACTGAAACTCCCTCGCTGCAGGAAGGAGCGCTTTGGCAGATCATTCATCCAACAGCAGTTAGACTCTATAACTGACATCACGATGTCATGAGTCACTGTGAACATCCACGGTCACCACCTCATGCATAATGGACCTTCATGTGTACGGACATGTGCAGGTATATGTGTCTGCATATGTATATTTAGTGTGTACGTGTACATGTGTGTAAACAGGAATAGTAGTGGTACAATAGTTATATCAAGCTATATAGTTTATGTCGTCCATATTTCCAACCATATCCATAATCACATACTGTGTGTGCTACCATTGTATGTAGTGTATCTTACTTTTTTCATTGATTGTACTTATTTGTATTCTTGTATTTCCTTCTGATATCTGTACCTGAGCTGAGCTGACGCAAAAATGTCCCCGTTGTGGGATCAATAAAGTTTTATCTTATCTTACAGTAATGAAAGCTTAAATCTCCGTCTGAATCTGAATAAAATAATAAATGTCGTCTTATTTTGTCAAAGCTTCTAAAACTGAGAAAGTTGAACATGTGAACTTCTGAGGGGCGCGACCTCTCGGCTGTAGCTGCGGCAGCGTCAGCGTGAACATGTCAGCGCAGACTCACGGGGGAGGTTTGGTCGGCCGGCCGTCGAACTTGTCTTTCAGCTGTCTCTCGGCTTTGGTGAGGACGGAGCGCACGTGATCGTCCGAGTTCACGTCTGGATGAGCTTCCAGGTACACCCTCATGCTGTCCTGCAACAGGAAGTGCAGTCGTGAGAAGCAGCGGCGAGACTTTCGGTTTCAGCCCAGATCATCATCACATCGCCCACACGTCCCAGAAGCCGTTACAAACACCGGAGCTGGTGTCGGCTCGCTTCCAGGACTCGTGTTGTGATGATGGTTCAGGTGAAACGCCGAAGCGCCTGCTTCTCTCTGGTACCTCGTAATCTTTCTGGAGCTCCAGCGCCTTGCTGATCCACTTCAGTCTCCTCTTGTCGGACAGCTGGGACCACTGTCTCCTCAGAGCCTCCTTCAGCTCCTTTTGACTCACCTGAAACAGAAACACAGTCGTGAGGATGTCGACACGGGTCCTGACCACGCTCCGGGCCTCGAACCGGCAGCAGGTCTACGAGCTGCCGCCGTGAAACTGTCCGCAGACGTCCGTGACAACACGGGCAGAGAAATCAGAGCGCCAAGTTCATGCTGAACGCGTGCATGCTAAATGCGTGCATGCTAAATGCGTGCATGCTAAATGCGTGCATGCTCAACGCGTGAATGCTAAACACGTGAATGCTAAACACGTGAATGCTAAACGCGTGCATGCTAAACGCGTGCATGCTAAATGCGTGCATGCTAAATGCGTGCATGCTCAACGCGTGAATGCTAAACACGTGAATGCTAAACGCGTGAATGCTAAACGCGTGCATGCTAAATGCGTGCATGCTCAACGCGTGAATGCTAAACACGTGAATGCTAAACGCGTGAATGCTAAACACGTGCACAATTCTGTCGCTCCGCCCATCTAAAAGTCTGCGTCTGTTTCACATTTGGCCCAACGACATCCTTAGAA